TCATCAATAGGTACCAAATGGCTAAAATCCCACCAGCAGTGAAATTATACTTAAAAAAATAAAACAACAGATAGCCTCCTACTTAAAATTACAGCGAATACGCCAAAAAAACTAAAAAGAACAACTAAAAAAAATCAATTACTCCGATCATAACTGAAGCGATAATTAGAACAGCCCTAGACCAGCTAGTACAGAGCTAAAACTTGGACGCTTGGTTGAGCATAACAAAGTAGTTAACTACGCCGACCTTTCCGGAATAAGATTTCCGACGTTCAAAGAACTCCTTCCGAACGGCCCTCGGGTGTTTTATATCCACTTCAAATTTTTTTTATAAAGCTGATCATAAAATAGTTGTTAGAGATCATTACGTGAACTGGTCGTTCGAACTTTTGCACTAAATTAACAATCAGCAGGGATAATATACCTTTTAATTACCTTACTTGAACTCATTAAAAAATAGTTAAATGAACATAAAAAAAATATGAAAAAAATTGAAATAAAATCGATTTTGTGTATGTTATAAGATGAACTATGGAGCAAAAAGCAACATCTTTAGAACGATTGATTGTTTTTTTTTCTCTATTGTAACGAGTCAATGAAGAACTTGTATGTTTGGGTAAAATACAATTCAGGGTGGAGATTATTGGTGGGAAAAAAAACAACACACGAACTGCGCAAGGACTGGAGTACTCGTTCTATTTTTGCAGCGTTCCGCTCCACCTAACTGTGGATGTTAATTAGTTTTTCCTGGAGTGATTAATCGGGCCATGACCGTCTTTTGAATGCTTTAAGTTTTAACAACAATAAACACATCCAACCAACACCACGTGGCGTTCTCACATTGTCTGGTTTTAAATCGAGCACGTTTTTTTTTGTTTGATACCGGATTTGAAAGGATTACGGTAAAAGACAATTCTATCTCTGCCCACGGTTGGATGACTTGAAGCGGTCGCTGGAACACAATTGTACAAACACCCCGTCCCGTTTTGTTCTGTCCATCTTTACGTATCTCCGCAAGAGCGATTACTCGAAAGATATACGTGCGCGGACGCCATGGAAAGCGTCGGGTTCCGTTGAAAAAACTCTCTTCTCAAATTTCAACGTTATGTTAATTGGTCTCACTGCGAATGGGGGGATGAATGACTAGCACTTGCGTGTTTGAGTTTAGCCAAATACAATTATTTAGCGCCCTTTTTGTTCGAGGGTTTCTTGTACAAATAGAATTCGATACTAAAACTCGTATTAAAATTTCATTATTGTACTTTGTTGCAATATTTTCAATGCAACACAGTTGTATAATACATTGCATTTGAAAAGAAACTAAACAAACACTGGTTATGGATATCTAATCGAACTAAAACGTTTAAGCTTTGCTGAGGAATATCATAATTATACACACCATCAATATATACAACCGATGTATACGTCTTTTTCAGATAAAGTTCACAATCTGAGTTCTTTCCTTACAAAATGACACGAAATGTAGAGATAAATCAGAGTTTACCTACAAGCTAAATATAAAGCGGTAGTTAGAGCCACTACATTTTCTCGTGTATTCACATATAACAATACGGACTGAGATGGCACATGCAGTAGCATCGGGCTGTGTTAATGTTAGGTAAATTTGTGACAAAACTGCTCTTTTTATTCTTATAGAAAACACATAGAGGCGAAAAGTAATTAAAATATGCCTCGTTATGAGAATAATAAAATAATATGATACAAAATTAAATTCTGAAATTTTTGAGAAAATGGTAATAGTGTTAAGTCACACTTCCGGGTACCGGAAATCGATCAAAGTTGCAAAAAACCCCACATAATATAGGAGCTAATACTTACATATGAAATTTGGTCATTAAAGAAACCACTATTGGGTATCAGAAATCAATAAGAAATTAAAAGAAATTTAAGTAAAGGTTTTTATACTTGTGTATGTTATCGAATATTGGTTTTTGAGAAGCCGGAAGTAGAGTAAGTACCAATTCCTGTTTTAAAAAATCGTTCGAAATTTTACAGAAACCTACATATAGATTCTCAAATATATATATATATATATATATATATATATATATATATATATATATATATATATATATATAAGATTTAGTTAACCTAACTGAAACAGTACTCCAGTTATCGTGTTAGCAAACATACACACAGACATACAGAGAAGATTGCAAAACTTCTTTTACTCTCCATATACGTGGAAGTAGATACAAGCATTTATTTTATTTATTTATCGACCTAACAGTAAACCCATTGGTGAATTCTTTTTATAAGTTACGTCACCAAATATATATGTCTGTGCGTGTACGTATGTGTGTGCGTGAGTGTGTGCGCGTGTGAGCGTGAGTGCGTGAATGCGTGAGTGTGCGTGCACGCTTGTGTGAGTGCGTGTGTGCGTAGACAATCTCCATTCATTAGTCAGCGGCTTGAGACTATATGAATTGCTAGAGATTTTAAGTGAAAAATTATTTGTGAAAATTTCTTTAGTTATTTGAAGAAAATGCATTAGTGACAGACTATTTTGGATGGAAAAAACTAATTTGACAAGGTTGGTTAAAAGTAGCAGAGGGCGACTTAAACTTCCCAGCTTTGACTGGAGAGCTAAACATTCAGTGCAAATATACATTATCATCGTATAGTTTAGTACTATAGTGTCTAACCATTGGTCATATTTAGGCCTCTGTTCATGTAATAAGGACACTAGTTACTTTTGAGCATTCTCTTCGTTTTTATAATTACAATTTGACATCATGATTAAAAAAAATATCAATAGTTAATACAATTATTTCAAGATAAAAATAACTTAATTTTCCGTTTGATGGTTTTATTTTGAAGCTTTTATTTTTCTAAGCGGATACCAATGATTTTACTGAAAAACCGATTATGAGTAGGAAAACATTAAAGGGAATTAACCGGTAAAAAAACTATTTTCGGTACACAATGCCAAGTATAATTTATTGGTTTCCTCCCTTTGCATGATTGTATGTTTATACGACTATTTTTCTAACTATATATTATTTAAAAACATAGTTTAAAAAAAAAAAAATAGATGATCAGTTAACTTAGTTATTGGTTGTAAAAAGAATTCTTTACCTTTATCATAAATTCATCTGCTGTATTTTTTTCATAGTTATTGTTTAATGTACGTTTTATTCTTTTTCTTATTGTTCTTACTAAAATGCTATTCTTTGTTACTAGCTATCAATTTTATAAACTACCATTAATAAAAAATGAACATCACATGCCAGGCCGTTATATTAAAAGTTACAGCCTAAGTTGAAATTATTGTTATTGTTAGAGACTAAATTTTAATACATCATCCCTTCAAATAGCTAAAGTCCCCTTTTCGAACCTGACGGTCCATTGGGCAAGTGAAATAAAGTTGACATGTTTCTGTGACCTCGGCATATGAAGGGATATTGTGGTCAGCACTATGCCCAGCCGTCTTTACTTTCACTAACACGAGTTAGGTACCCATTAGAGCTGAGTGCACTCAGTGACGTTCTACTGACTTAAACCTTTCAAATAAGTCTCACTAAAAATAAAATATTGAAAGAGATTCCCTACAGTTCAACAATAGGACAAGAAATGATGAAGAGCAAACAAGTTGTGTACAATGTCTTGGTGAAACAATCGTTTATTAGGGTGAGTACAATGTTCTTCTGTTTGGTTTCAGCTGTTTCTTCGGTTTTGATGCGTCACACTTTCTGTTGACGTCAGAGCTACACGTGACCAGACAGCACCTGTGTGTGGTCCGCATATGTCCGCACACCTTCGTTGTCCGCACACCTTCGCTGTCCGCACACCTTCGCTGTCCGCACACCTTCGCTGTCCGCACACCTTCGCTGTCCGCACACCTCATCTGTCTGCACATCCCTCTGTTTTCACAATGCCGATGTCCTCACATCTTCTCTGCCCTCACACCTTCTCTGCCTTCACACCTTCTCTGCCCTCACACCTCCACTACCATCAGACCTCTGCCCTCACACCTCCTCTTCCCTTACACCTCCTCTGCCCTCAAACCTCCTCTGCCCTCACACATCCTCTGCACTCACACCTCACTGTCTTCACAATGCCGATGCCCTCAAACCTCCTCTGCCCTCACACCTTCTCTGCCCTCACACCTCTGCCCTCAAACCTCCTCTGCCCTCACACCTCTGCCCTCACACCTCCTCTGCCCTCACACCTTCTCTGCCCTCACACCTCTGCCCTCAAACCTCCTCTGCCCTCACACCTCCTATGCCCTCACACCTCTGCCCTCACACCTTCTCTGCCCTCACACCTCTGCCCTCAAACCTTCTCTGCCCTCAAACCTTCTCTGCCCTCACACCTTCTCTGCCCTCAAACCTCCTCTGTCCTCACACCTCCTCTGTCCTCACACCTCTGCCCTCAAACCTCCTCTGCCCTCACACCTTCTCTGCCCTCAAACCTCCTCTGCCCTCACACCTTCTCTGCCCTCACACATCTGCCCTCAAACCTTCTCTGCCCTCAAACCTTCTCTGCCCTCAAACCTCCTCTGCCCTCACACCTTCTCTGCCCTCACACCTCTGCCCTCAAACCTCCTCTGCCCTCACACCTTCTCTGCCCTCAAACCTCCTCTGCCCTCACACCTTCTCTGCCCTCAAACCTCCTCTGCCCTCACACCTTCTCTGCCCTCACACCTCTGCCCTCAAACCTTCTCTGCCCTCAAACCTCCTCTGTCCTCAAACCTTCTCTGCCCTCACACCTCTGCCCTCACACCTTCTCTGCCCTCAAACCTCCTCTGTCCTCACACCTCCTCTGTCCTCACACCTCTGCCCTCACACCTTCTCTGCCCTCAAACCTCCTCTGCCCTCACACCTTCTCTGCCCTCAAACCTCCTCTGTCCTCACACCTCCTCTGTCCTCACACCTCTGCCCTCAAACCTCCTCTGCCCTCACACCTTCTCTGCCCTCAAACCTCCTCTGCCCTCACACCTTCTCTGCCCTCACACATCTGCCCTCAAACCTCCTCTGCCCTCACACCTCCTCCGCCCTCACACCTCCACACCCCGATGTCTTCACCATACCGTTGTCCTCACACCTCATATGTCCACACACAATAGCAGTCTCCACACAGACCCTGCAAGCAAGCAGGTCACTGAATGTCATACACCATAGAGTTAAAGACACTATACTTAGGCTAAGACACTGCCAGTAGCCTAACTGATATTGATATCGTTTAACCCGCACTTAATACAACCTTCGCTATACTCGTGAATAATAAATAGTTAATCCACCTTAATTCTTATACACACCTATAACCATAAGTTAAAGCTGCAACATCCTTCTCGTTTTTTCAATAAACAAAGTATTGAGGGAGAGGGGGGGGGTTTGTAACTAGTATGCTATTTGTCATGAGGTTTTTGGTGTTTACCTAATTCTATTCATTAATTGGATAATCCTGTTAATAAGATGAATATACCTACCAACATTATGATGAAAAGCCTTGTTCATTTAACACGCAAGTGCCTAAAATAAATGTATACATGTATTATATTAATACAACAGAGATATAATATGACACAGATACAACATGCAGTTAGCAGATATGTAAACTCGTCTAAGTAAACAAGAAGTTACTGGCAAATGGTCTCTCCCTTAGAACAGTCAATGAGCGCCTTATTCCTCTGTACTTTACAGTAACAAGATCCCTCTTTGTTGGGGTAATCGGGCACGGCATCCCCATCCTCGTACTCAACACCTTTGTAGGAGCATTTTTTAGTGGGGAGAGTTCCTGGAACACAGGGAAATAGCACGTCAAGTTAGGGAGCAGTGCTACAAACACAACAAACATAATGTCAAGTTAGGGAGCAGTTCTACAAACACAACAAACATAATGTCAAGTTAGGGAGCAGTTCTAAAAACACAACAAACATAATGTCAAGTTAGGTAGCAGTTCTAAAAACACGACAAACATAATGTCAAGTTAGGTAGCAGTTCTAAAAACACAACAAACATAATGTCAAGTTAGGGAGCAGTTCTACAAACACAACAAACATAATGTCAAGTTAGGGAGCAGTTCTACAAACACAAGCAAACATAAAGTTAGGGAGCAGTTCTACAAACACAACAAACATAATGTCAAGTTAGGGAGCAGTTCTAAAAGCACAAGCAAACATAAAGTTAGGGAGCAGTTCTATAAACACAACAAACATAATGTAAAGTTAGGGAGCAGTTCTACAAACACAACAAACATAATGTCAAGTTAGGGAGCAGTTCTACAAACACAACAAACATAATGTCAAGTTAGGGAGCAGTTCTACAAACAAAACAAACATGATGTCACGTTAGGGAGCAGTTCTACAAACACAAGCAAACAAAATATAAAGTTAGGGAGCAGTTCTTCAACTACAAACACAACAAACAGAATGTCATGTTAGGGAGCAGTTCTAAAAGCACAAGCAAACATAAAGTTAGGGAGCAGTTCTACAAACACAGACTATGTATGAGAACCTGTATTAGAACATGTACTCATACAGGTTCTCATACATGTATGGGTACCTGTATGAGTACATGTATGGGTACCTGTATGAGTACATGTATGGATACGTGTATGGGTACATGTATGAGTATATGTGTAAGTATGAGTACACTTTAGCTCGAGATAGTCAGGCATTGAAACAATTATGACGTCTGGAGTATTCTTTTGACAATCGTGGGTTGTAATCAGAAAAGTATACAGAGTTTGTTCGTTATCGGAAGCAAGGTAGGAAATAATACAGTGTTCGTATATTTTTGTGTTGCTTCGGCAGATTGGTGAGTAGGTAGTTAAGTTGGTCTAGTTTTTTTTTTAATTTGTAGGTTAAGATGGTAGGTTGGTAGGTAGTTAAGTTGTTGGGTAGACAGGTAGGTATTCTAGGTTGTTTAACGGGTGGGTTAGGTTGGATAGTAACTTGGTAGTTACGTTGGTGGGGATATAATTTGGTATAGTGCTTATGTGGACTTTGGAGGTAAATACTTCAAATAGAGAAGAATGATACTACATGCAGGTTAAAAGTGTTAATATGGTAATTTTTAGTTTCAGTCTATGCCTAGTTAAACGCCTGTATTGTATGTACTTGATAGCAAAAAAAAGACACACAGCCAGAAGGTAAATAAAAAATTTAATGTATCCTTACTGAACATCGGTTCATCCTCTTTGAACATGCACTCAACAGAAGCCTTGCCAGCCTTCACGCGACAGAAACACTGCTCACTCGCGTCTTCAGAGTAACCGGGTACCTCATCACCAGCTTCATACTCGTTGTCACCAAACTTGCAGGACACACCTGGTGGGGAGAGCAGACATGCACGTGTACATTTACACAGGCACGTGCGCTGGCTTGGTCTTTAACAAGTTTGGGGAGGGGGGGAGGGGGAGGGTCAGCTATGATTTTTACAACGGGTCGTCTAACTTACAGGGGTTGTAACTTTAGTATTATCTGGTCAAAAGAAATGCATCAATTCTTCTGGATATACACAATACGCAGTACAATTACAAGTGATCGTTAGAAGGGTTGTTAAAGCAAGGTAAGGGCTATAAAGGGGATTATTTTCAGAATAAATGGCCTGATCAGGATTTGGATTAGGGTTAGTTGTCGAGTTAGAGTAACTGCTAGACTAGGCTCGTATAAGTCTTGATGCTTTATTAGTAACATATTTAATGGAGCGTTTTAACATATGCAAATAAAATAAATCAAGTAAAGGACATCTCAAAGGGAAAAAAACGGATGTAAAATCAACGGCAGGGCAATGCTGTATAAATATCGATTGTTGTCGTCATTTTCTCTATCATAGTCAAGGTTTGAGTTAGGGTAAGGATCTGGGCTAATGTTAGGGTTATGGTTATGTCTAGGGTTATGTTTTAGGCTAGGGTTATGTCAGGACTAGGGTTATGGTTAGGTCTAGTATCATGGTTAGGACTAGTGTTATGGTTAGGGTTATGGGTATGGTAAAGGTTATGGTTAGGGCGAAAGTTATGGTTAGGGCTAGGGCAAGGGTTAGGGCAAGGGTTAGGGCAAGGGTTAGGGCAAGGGTTAGGGCTAGGGCTAGGGCTAGGGCTAGGGCTAGGGCTAGGGCTAGGGCTAGGGCTAGGGCTAGGGCTAGGGCTAGGGCTAGGGCTAGGGCTAGGGCTAGGGCTAGAGGGTTAGTATTAGGTGTATGATTAAAGAAAAAGTACCGCTAACTCTAAGCAAGCTACTCATTTGTGTCAGCTTCATTACCTGCACTGGTATGCAAGACGGCGAACACACACAACAGGATGCAGGTTGTTTTCATCAGGTAATGCATGGCTGGTCAGCTAAAACACAAGACAGGTAATAAATCACGCACGTGTGAGCCCCAAATGGGATACGTGGCAGTCTACTCACCTAGAGAGTACGTGTATTTGGTCGAGCTTAACACTTCAGCATTGGGAATACATTGTATTTTACATTCGCCCTGCCTTATATTGTCTTTTCTGAATGTACTTTAGTTACTTAATAAAATTTGGGACGGCGTGGCTTAGCGGTAGAGAGCTAGACTGCTAATTTTCGAGAGTCTCGAGTTCGAATCCGGGTTCAAATCAATGGAACCTCTCTGAGTCCACTCTGCTCTAATGGGTACTTAACTTACGTTAGGGAAATAGGCATAGTGCTGACCACACTATCTCTTCTGTTAAATCTCCCGTCTCACTCATCCCATCTACCACATGTGTGGGGTTTTTTTTTTAAATTTAATCTTAAAATTAAAAAAATAAATAATGTGGGAATAGCACCAGTTTAGTGAGCGGAAATCACCTTTACGCTAGAAGCTTTAGTTTAAAAATTGTGTAGGCCACTTAAGTCAACGTTTTCTTTCAAACATTCTAGATCTCGATTCTAACAGTCTAAAATTCGAAAATATAAATAATCTAAAAATCTAAGGCCTAAGTCGTTATTATAATTATATAACATTGCTTTATACTTTATAACCGCACCATTCTAGGCCTACCAATATAAAAAATATACATAAATGATATCATCATCCATTTTTGTGTTCTACAATATGTGCAAGACACATAGATCTAGATCTAGATCTCTAGACGGAGAAAGCTGTTCTAAATACTCAATACAGAAAGTTTAGATTCTAGATTTAGTCTAGATCTACAAGTTACAAGTAGACTAGATTAGATTTTAACTATAACTATCGACTTACTTTGTTATAATGTAGACTAAAAGAAAAACAATGACAACTCACAGTGAACTGAAGACAACTGATTGTTTCACCAACTGGGTAACCGTTTAGACCTTGCAACCACCCAGTGTTTTTTTTTTCTTTTTTTTTTCTTTTTAAAATACTAGGTGTGTTTGCAATATAGGTCTGGGTATAGCCTCTACCTTGTGATGACTAATGTGAGCCTCGGTTTGAATCCGACCTGATGACGTCATTGTTGTGCATTCTAGTGCGAAATGGTGCAATTGTTAAAAATTTTAAACAGAAAGTAGACATTTGTTTTGAAAATCACGATTCAAACCAGATTCTATTGACTAGAGTATTGGGAGAGAGTAAAGGTTTAATTAACAAGCAAGATAAAAAAAAAAAGAAATAATTTTATATGCATTATAATGTAAAAGTCGTCGTTTATAATAACAATCAACAATATCTGCGATAAAAGAAGAAAAAACAAATTATTTAAAAAGTCTAGTGACATTTAAGCGCAATTTCCTTATGTTATCTAAAAATAGCTCTGTCGTAGCGTAAATCAAGAGCAGGGTTAGTAAAACCATTGGTTAGTTATTAAAACGTTTTTTATTAATTTTTTTTTTCAGTATTTTACATGTTTTATTTACAATAGAGTTACATGACTAAAAAACATTGCGCGCCTTCTGAACGTGATGACGCAGCCATTGAACGTGATGGCGCAGCTATTGAACGTGACGCCGCGTGTGGTGTGGTTGGATAAATATGCCTACTAATTCGGTCCAAATTTTAATTAATTCAAAAAAATGTTTGTGACCGAACGAAAGGATATTTTTGAAAACTTTCTTCGGCAATATTGTTCTAAATTATGGCAGGAATCGATTGGTACATGTTTCAAGTCGCTAAGTGGTCTGGTTGCCGAGATATGGGCCAAAAACTGCATTTTTTGGAGGTTTCTTGGCTTTTCCGGGAAATCCATGAAAGAAACCCGTAATTTTTATGGCCTATGTTCATCCTCGTAACTTGCTTAACATAATTGCTTTGGAACTAGTCATCAATATTGCTTCGTTGAGGAGGAGATACGACTTTAAGCTGCGGACACACATCCATCCATCCATCCATTCATACATCCAGAAATGACGGGTTAATAAACGCAATTCTCCAGAATGGAAATTGCGCTAAAAATCATTAAAATGTAATGACGCTCCAGATAATTCAGAGCTTTTAACTCTAACAGAAAATATCCGAGCTTCTCTCACAGAGGTAATTCTATATCACATGATGTCACAGCACAAAGATCTCTTTATGGACTAGATGACACCTTTATACGTGATTGTTAGGGCTGCTGTGAGAGGGTCGTGTTTGACCTGACGTGATCTACTACCATTTAAAGAATACGACTACCATTTGCATTCATATCACCACGATACACCACGATACATTTTCTTGTTCACTATTTATTCAACTACTATTCTCGTATAAATAAACATAAACCTATCCTTGATATTGGCATTACACGGAGTATCTTTTACATTCTCCCTAGTATGCAGGCTTGGGAGTTCGGACTAGGGAGAATGTAAAAGGCCAACGTAAATATTTGATAGACATTTCAACCTGTTCCTATCTCAAAACTTCACTCACTTTCTTCCGCGTCATCAAACATGCATTCGCACCATTCTGTGTGCGCTTTTTTCTGTTTGCGCTTTTTTCTGTGTACGCTTTTTTCTGTGTGCGGTTTTTTCTGATTGCGCTTTTTTCTGTTTGCGCTTTTTTCTGTTTGCGCTTTTTTCTGTGTGCCCTTTTTTTCTGTGTGCGCTTTTTTCTGTTTGCACTTTTTTCTGTTTGCGCTTTTTTATGTGTGCGGTTTTTTCTGATTGCGCTTTTTCTGTTTGCGCTTTTTTCTGTTTGCGCTTTTTTCTGTTTGCGCTTTTTTCTGTTTGCGCTTTTTCTGTGTGCGGTTTTTTTTGCGCTTTTTTCCGTTGCGCTTTTTTCTGTTGGGCTTCTTTCTGGGAACCGTATAAAGTGGTTGTAATGAAACAAGCCATCAAATGCTCATATCATCGGCACAATTTATACATTTTATAGTACAAAAAAATTGTATTAGGTAACTTTAAAAATAAAAAGCCTGGCTATATTTTTCTTAAGTTCCTAAAATTTCGACCAAACAATTTCAGCTTCTGCTCCCACCGTCCCGAGCCTGTGATATTTTACAGGCCAGATAGACCCTCCCCCCTCCCCCTTCCCCCGTCCTTAGCTTTCGTTATTGGTAGCGGGATCACAATCGTTAGTTGTAGAGTTTGCTCTTAATTTTTTTTTCCTCAGACATGTAATTTACAGTTTGCCTTGCATGTTAGTATTACCGTTTTTATCATAGGCTTGTGAGGACTGATACTGATTTACAATAGTAATACTTCTTTCTTACATGTAGTCTACTTTCATTCAGTTAAGATGGTTTACTTATACATAGATTTAATACAAAACGTCTAATTACAATTTAATTTTTAAACCTAAATTTTTTTTGGACATTTTTAAAAAAAAACCTGTGTGAGGACTGTTACAAATACCGATGTTTGAAAGGGAAGATGTCTCATTGTATATTCGATACAAAAATATATAAATGAGTAAAATCGATGGTTCCCAAACGGCTTTAATTTTTACAAACGTAACTAATTTTATCGCTTGCCATATTGTAAAAAAGATTTTTCAAAAATTTAGTATGATTAGATAGACTTTTCATGTATATTACACATTTGCATTAACATTTTCATTTTATTTTGTAATTTTAAAATTTTTAAACAAGTAACTCTCTCGAGCACCAAATAATACTAGATCTGTTGCGAGTATTCAAAAAGTAGGAAGTAGTTATGCAATGAGGTTAACACTTTCAATATTTAAATAATATAAATTTTTAATAAGAAATTAATACGTTCTAATTAATTTGTAAAGCATAATTTATTAAATGTAAAATGCACTTAATATTTAATAACAAACAGTAATTTGATTTAAATTTTTATTATTTTAGTATTTTTTTCGATTCGAGTAAATAAGTTTAATATTGTCTCCCCTGAAGAAATTATATCTATACAAAGGGAAATCATTAATACTTTAATATATTAATTCTAATATTTTAAATTATACGCAAACGCAGCACCATCTTAGTAAACATATGAATGAGTTTTAAAATAATGCAATCAGATTGGATACTGTAAGAACCAAAGCTACTGGACGATAGTTACAATGTCTGTATGTTTTATAACTTACTATAAATTTTGCCTAACTTTACTTAGCTTTAAAAAAAATTCTTAAAATTATACCCTAACCATAATCCCCATACACAGACTAGACAATTCTAAACTCAACACAGATGCTAACTTAACTCCAACCTTGCTAGTTTCGCCAATGACGAAGCTCGACAAAAGTATGTATTGTGTACATACATGCTGAATAGATGCTGAATAGTGTCCCATGTCGTGGCTATTGTTGTCATTTGCATGTAAATGTCCAGCAAACATTTTCTAATTCCATTAGATGAGAAATTTATTTTTTAAATTTCCAATTTTTTTCTTGGCCCACTTACCCCCACCCCCACCCTCACTTCCAAATTACAGTACACGTCTGAAGATTTAGTACAGCATTTATCTTTAATAACCCATCAATCGCCATACGTCAACTTTTTAATTCATGGTTGAACGTTTTATCTTCTATTTATACAGCTAAATTACTAACTAGGCGGACTAATTATACGACATAATAAACCATGATTTCATTTGATTTCAATCGTAAATATATAGCTCGTAAGTAAATAGATTGAAATCTACAAAAGACTAAAATCAATAACTGAATCATAATTATCGTATACGTTATTAGAGTAAAACAAAACTAGAGTAATAATATGCTTGCTACACTTCACTAAACTACATAGGATAAAGCTACAGTTGTATGACTGAGATTATTAGTTATATTTACCACTATTGTACTTGTGGAGCTTCAAGACAAAGCCTACTACGACTATTGTTTTTTTTAAAGCTGTATGCGAATGTCTAATATAATATACGGCCTAGGTTATGTAGAGTTTGGGTGTATATGAGAATATTTCTTTGTATTGTTAGATTGTACGATTAATCTTGTGGATCGAATTACCAAGGGAAAATCAAGATTGAACTTAAATAGATTTTTCACATTTCTGAACAAAATGTCGGGTAGTTTGCCGAAAAATCAGTTATCGAATGTAATCGATGTCATCTATACTGATCAACTGATAATTAATGACGAGATACTTAATTATATTTTGATTGGTCTGGGGGTCGTACTCCACGGGTCAGTGGCCCTCGTCGGTACAGCTGGTAATGTCATCAACATCATTATCTTCAGCAAACTTGGCCTCAAAGACAGCATGAGTACAGCCCTGTTTGTGCTGTCCATCTCTGACTGTTGTGTAACTTTCATGCAGCTCGTTATGTGTGGGTTATATGTCGCACATATCGCTTTCCCGAACAGCCAAATCGATTTTTTAGCACTTCGATACTTTGCATTTGCTTGGATTCGTTACATCGCATATTTGATATCGTGTTGGATCACGACTACGATTTCTATCGAGCGATGTTTTTGTGTCGTGTTTCCATTCCAAGTCCGAGAAATATTTACAAAGAGCAGGTGCCTTTTTGGTTTAGCAATGATCTATTCCATTCATATTTTTATTCATGTCCCTATTTTCTTAACTCAAACTATGACTTGGGTTCTCCAGGAGACGATTACAGGTAATGAGACAGAATCACGTGACCGGTGGACTATTGAGTTCTCAGAGGACAGACCGGAAGTGGAAAAAATTGTCAACTTTGTTGGAAGTTTAGTGTTGACTGTTATATTTCAAACAATAATTCTGCTCAGCGCCGCATGGATGACCTTTGCCCTTCAAGTATCCACCAGGGTTCGGAAAGTTCACGAAGAAAGCACAGCTTATCTCGACGTTTACAGAAACCTATTTTATAACAGGTCGTCACAACTGACGTCACGAGAAAGGAAACTCCTGAAGATCGTTCTATTTTTAGCCCTGTTTCTGACGGCGTGTAACTGCCCTAATTTCGCCGTGCTCGCCGTGTACCACAGCGTACCGGAACTGAAAACCCCCGCCTACGACAACGTGGAGACTTTGATGTTTGAGATTGCCGATTTCTTCAACACCGTCTACAGTTCTCTCAACATCCTGGTCTACGTCA